CAAACCATATGCCCAACCCTTTTTGTTCAGGTTCTTGATAGACAAATGAAGCCACCACGGCGGATAGAGCTTGCAGATAGTTTTGATTCTTTTTAGATTTTTGTACTATAAAGAGGAATGCAAATAGGGTGGCTGTTTGGGTTGCTATAGGCATATACCCTTATTATTACTCTTTTGATAATTGCCATCTAGGCTGATTGTTGACACAACAAAAAAGTTGTCTACCTTCGTTGAAAATTAAAGTAGCAAAAAACCATTACTCTTTAGGAAATAGGATTGACAAGCAATGATAATATGCGATTTCTAGTCACATGATCTTGAGAACTATGACCATCTCCGTACATATACATGAACTGAGCCATCCTTCCAGCGTTCATTGCAGTTCTAATCAATGTCAAAGGGAGAGAAGAGGTTTTATGTTGGTCTTTATTAATCTTCTTCCATGTTATGTCAATCAAATGCCATATATATTCACGAGCATCTGCTTCAGAAGCTCCAGTTTCATTCATGTAACATTGAATTGATTTGGGTACATCACCTCTTTTCATCTCATCCTAAATCAAAATGAACAAACAAGACCATGAGAAAACTTAAATGACAAGTCATTTATAGAAGAAGAACCAAACAAAGAGAGTTGTAGGGTAAGCACTACCGTTGATGTTCCCAAATCATCTGCAAGTCTCAATAGCATTGCCGAACAGCGAATGACATTAGGATACTCCTGTTCAAAGCATTCCAAGCCCTCCCTCGTTATTTGATTTGAAATAAGAACATAGGCATAATGTAGCGTTGCACTTGCTGCTACGGAAACCATTGCATTGTCTAGGTACTCTTGTAGAGTTGGTGTGTATCCAGTATGGTACCACTTTGCCTCCAACAAATAAGCTTTACATAAATCCGTCCACTGAAGCAACTTTCGGAATGACTTAGTGACAGTGAAAAAAATCTGAAAACTCAAAAGGAAAATTGATTTTTACCACTTTTTTTGAGTAAGGAAGGATGTTTAGTCCTTGTGCCCTTAAAATGTCAGCAGTGACTTGGTTGATAGAGTTGTGTAGCTCAATGAAACATAACTTCATGTAGTCCGGGAGGGTTTCAATTCTATTGATATCCCACCTGAAATTAAAACTTAAAATGTAAACATCAAGACATATATGGGATCAGCCCATGCCTGAATACAGGAAGCAAGAAAGGTGGCTGCAAACCTCTCAACAGCTTCGGTGAAAAGCTCAAGTTCATCCAAGGTTCCATAGACATCATAAATATCATCTATTGTAGTTATTAATGCATAGACCTGTGTCCCCATTCTTCTGTAACATCCATACTGAGGCTCATGTAACACCCCAAGTGGCCATAAAAAATTCTCCACCAACCTGTCCCTAATGAACCGCAACTTTTCCCCAAGACCTGTTCTCTTCCACCACCTAGTATATACGACTAGATGTGATTATCAATTTGAGCAATTTCTTAAAAATGGAGATGAAATCCATACCAAACACTATGTCAAGTATCAATTTTGTCATAAAATTAATGTGGCTGAGGTACCTTGATGCATGTTTTAGATCTTCTTGGTGGGCTGCTTGCACCAGATTAAAATCCAACTTAGCAAGATCAAGCAAGATGGGGTTCACAAGGGGACTTTGTTGATAAACTTCTATGAACCATCTTGCTTCCATCCTAAGCATCCTCCAATGAAGCGGAAGCTCCAGGGCGTGACTCACTAGTGTGGAAAGATGGATATCTTTGCCTTGGTTAACCTTAATATATTCTTTGAGATGTTTGGTCGCGAAAGCTTTTGCAGCATCCAATATGCTTTCACCTTCCATTGAATGGAATGAGGCTTCATACAGATATAGCATTCCCTTGTAATCCTCCCCGAGACAAGCCTTAAAGTTTCCACTCTCATCTCTGAAACCATTGAAAATCTCTACAAAGAGAGAAAAAAAAATTGGTAATCAAGAGTAGTTTATTTATTCCTTGACATATTTACAGCATAGAAACTAGAACATACCTTGAGTTACATTATACCCATGTTGTCTTAGGATTCTGAATTCAAGAGCTATAGCATATAGGCTGTCTTTCTTGTGCCCATAATTTCCATGATTCTTCTTGTATATTCTGTCCAGAGTTTTCTTTACTTCATCTTCAAAATGATAAGATAATCCAAGCCTTTGCAAGTTATCGACGAGCTCGAGTTGATCCTCATCATTCACCTCCTTCTGTAGCATCACTCTCACATCTTCCTTTAACTTGTCCCTACGTCTGCT